GTTAGAAGAAGGGTCTACATCAGCGTCTGCGCGAGGCTCCGTACTAGGGGGACTATTGGCGTCAAATTCAAAGTACTCAGGGTGCTCATTAATACTAACGGAGGAACTGTGGCGAACTCGGGGGGTTAAGGGTCTGTCTTGGTCAGGGTTCTCGTCATCTACTACAATGTCTGTGTCAGCAGGGTACATAGGATCAGTCTCAGCTACAGAATAGGAGGATGGGTCTGCATAAGTCTGGTGGGTGTTAGAGGGTTGGGCGTGGATGGTGTTAGTGGGGTGGGCGTGTGCATGAGCAGGGTTGTGAGGGTGCGGAGTGTGCTGGTGAGAAGCTGTGTCGCGTCGGTCATGTGGTCTATGGGGATCATGGTAAGCGAAGTTTGGGTCGTGACCACTAGGGGGGAACCGTTGGCTTCTGGGATCTTGCTGGTAGCGAGGGTCCCTCATTCTTGGACTCTCATGTTCATACTGTTCTCCATACTGATGCTCACGGTCATCATACACAATATCATATCGTTCTTTTCCATCTCTTCTTGGACTATCGTAGCAGCGTCTATCATCCACTTGGCCGTTGTATTCTTGTGGTGGTGGTGGAGGGGGACCACGCTGATAGCCTCGCCCATGTTCCACTGGGTCTAAATACCTTTCCTGTTCTGGATGTTCCCGATATCTTTCCTGTTCTATGTGTTCCCGGTATCTTTCCTGTCCTATATTTTCTCTGTATCTTTCTTGTTCCAGATCCCCCACTTCTCTGTATCTTCCCTGGTCTATGGAAGCTCTAGGCCTGTCATCAATACATGAACTTCTTCGTCTATATCGATCCTTTTCTATGGCTCCTTGTTCTCGGTAGCGATCATGGTCTCCAACATTTTGATCTCTATATGGATCTTCATCTCTGAATCTTTCCTGCTCTACCACAATAGGCTCTCTATACCTCTCTAAGCCCCTAGGTACTTGTTCTACATATCTATCCTTCTCCATAAGTTCATGATCTCTGTACCTCTCCTGGTCCACTGTTCCTTGCACTATACATCTTTCTATATCAGCTGGCACCTGTTCTATGTACCTCTCTTTTTCCATTGGTATTTGTTCTCTATACCTTTCTTTTTCAGGAGGCCCAAAATCTCTATACCTATCTTTATTCCTGTATCTTTCATCATCGCTGTGACCTCGGTCTGGATATCTATCCTTATCTTCAATGGCTGGGGCTCTGTATCTCTCATCTTGATCAATATATCCCTCTGCTTCTGGCACCAATCTACTGTCACGCCTATAATTTCTATCGTACTCATGCGGTGCCTCACTTGGATATCTACCCCTCTCGTCTACTGGTCTTGGTGGCTCTTGTCTTCTCTGCTCCACAGGAGCAAACACTTCGTCAGAACCATAAGCCTCGTATTTACTAGGTGGTCCACTTCCATCAAAAACATGTGCCAGAGATGGATTACTATGAAGACTTCTTGCAGCTTCTAATGGTGGTTCTGAGACACTTGACTCACGAAGAGGAACTCGATATAATGCCTCTGGGTCTTCTCTAGAAGGCCTCCACATTACCTCGCGTTCTATATTCCTACTTGGACCTGATAGAAGAGAACTCTCTGTATTGGCCCTCATAAATGTTTTTCGAGGCTGTGTAATCCCAGAATGACGCCTTGCTCTAGGCAAAGTTTGGCTTGACCCTTCTCTTACTGATTGGATTGAAGTAGGAAAGAATTCATCAACCCTCTCTATTGTCATACGTCTTGGTTGATCAATGGGTCGCTTTTCTATGTCTCGTCTAATCTCTGGTTTTCTCTGTTCCACATGTTCTAAGCTGCAGGATCTGTCTAATGACCTATCTGAGAGGAACACCTCTGTCTCCGCTCCGCTGTATTCGGAGTCATACCCGTAGTAGGTCCCTGCACTGTGCCCGTCCACAAGTCGGGCTGAACTTCGTCTACGATATAAACTCCGATTAGTCTCTCCGTTGGAGATATCAGAATTCTGAGCATCACTGTAGACTTCACGCTCAGGTTGTGCCCTGGGCTTCCGTCTGAACGTGTCCGACACGTGTTCCCTTACCTCTAGATCTGATTCATAAGGCACTGATTTATCAATTGAGAGTGAGCTTCTTGAAATCCTAGCAGGTCCTTGGACCCTGTGCTTAGATAAAACTTCGTCTTCATAGGTCACAGTCTTCTTAGGATGTGACCGCAACACTAGGTCATCCCTAGTAAGTGACCTTGAGCGAGCCCTGTGGCCTTGGTCCCTTACATCCCAATGGTCCATTAATAGGTCAGGATCATGGTGGAGGAGCCAATGTTTATCATTCTCTCCTAGACTGTGGCTCTTCTGTAGGCAATGGCGAGTGCGAGGTGGAGGAGGAGCACTCACCATTGTGTTGCTCCTTATGAGGTGCGTCCGTGGTTGTTGACGAGGCCGCACCGAGAGGGATGGTGCGCTCCTAGAAACTGCGGGAGACACACCCATGGAAAGTGACCTCCGGAGGACAGGTGCACGGCGG